GTTGTTGTTTTAGATTACTATTGCTAGGGACTATGTCTGGGCAGAGATATCTGAGTGATCTGCATTTCAAATCTTTCAAAAGCCTTTCTTTCTCTAGATTGAATTTCCCCATCAGACTAGAATGCTTTCATTCAATAATTTTTTGTTCAGACTTCATTTGATCATGCGACTACATTCTTTCATTGAAACCTTTTTATTATACGCAATAGTGTTTGATACTCATGTAACAGTTGTTCTCTTTCTCTCTTTTAGAGCAATAGCAGTGGTGAAATCCAATTTTTTTTAGTATCAGTTCTGTGGGCGTGGCTTGGTGGACGTGGTGTGGCTTGGTGGGCGTGGCTTGGTGGGCATGGCAGGGGAAGGATACTGCAAAATGTCCATTCCCACTCCACTCCAGGGGAAGGCTACTGCAAAATCCCCAGCTAGAGGTTGTATTTGCTGGTTCTCCGAACTACTCAAAATTTTCACTACCGGTTCTCCAGAACCTGTCAGAACCTGCTGGACTTCACCCCTGAGCAATAGTATTAATTTGAAAGTGTTGAGATAGTAAGTCTGGTTGGAACTCTACCACGTTTGATTTGAGGGCTTTTCACAATTAACTGTGCATGTATTATCTATCTGTCTATCTATCTATCTATCTATCTATCTATCTATCTATCTATCTATCTATCTATTTTACATGGCTGCCCATCCCATGGAAAGTGTCTTTTATTATCCTCACAGAAAATGCATTCTTCTCTGGGAATGCCTCCAAAGTGAAGTTTTACCACTAATCTTACTAGAAGTGTCTTCTGCTTCTGAACTTCAAGGACTGACGATCCCTGCATGGCATTGCCACCACTGAAGTGCTTCTTCAAACAGCTTGCACACTAAAGATGTAATCATATAGCCACAATGAAAGGGAAGAAAACCGTATCCTCTAACACACGCCTTAGTTTCCTTTGCTTGCTTGGAAAATAATTAGACGCCCAGTTCAAATTACCCTAGTTCAAAACTTTGCAAGTTTCAGAGTGCAGATCTTAGAGAGGTGTTGTTTTTTTCTGATTTCTTAATGCTGTGTTAATTCTAAACACAGGTTTAGAAATGGGGGAGTGTTAGACTGTAAGTGTATCCTCTCCTCCTCCCTCCCCCAAAAACCCCTTGTGTGAACAATTACAGATGTAAAGGCACAGAAGCAGTTAAACTAACAAGTAGGCAAGAAGAGGCTGTAATGAGTGATGAACACATTTCCTGCATATAAATACCAGCTGTTTTTCTTTTGAAAAGATTAAGTATATTAATAAAAAAAAAAAAGCCACACACATATGGCATGCCTGCAAGCAGTGTTGGCTTTGTCAACTGATGAAAAGCCACATACATAAACTAATTTTGCATGCTCTCATCAAGACCATTTAAACAGCAATATTTTACAGTTGCACATCTAATCATGAAAGGATGAAGCTGGCAGTTTTATTGCAGTCATGTGTTTAAAGCAATGTAAAACCCACAATTATTTCCAGGCCCTATGAAGAAGTGTTGGATTTTTCGGATTCACAGGAAATTATTTAAAGGGACAGAAATGTTATCAAGAGACTTTAGTTTCTGTTTTGGAAATCAATCTTCTTCTGGTCTTATTGTTTCAAACTGTAACAGAAGATACCAAAGCTTTTTACTTAGAAGCCTACGACATCTACAAATGCAAACATTTATCTTGGTTGGGAAAAGTGGGGTGGAGCATTAAGGCTCCAAATTTGGCAGTGCTCACCATCTTTGTGTTTTGAACAGGAGCTTATGACCTCAGGTTCCTGTGTAGTTTCGACCCCTGTCTCCCTGCTGAAGATGACATGACAGTGACATTTGGAGGACGCTCACCTTTGCTCTCCTGCCCATTCTTTTGTTTCCTTCCTGAAGTCATCTAATAGGGTGAGCATGACGGCATCCACTGCACTGATCAACATCTATTGTATGCCAGTTGCTGGCTGAATTTGACAAAACCGATCTCTCATGTGTTTGCTGATATTCTTAATTTGATTGAACAAAGCTGCCAAAGGTTCATCATTTTGGTAAAAGGTTTTAAGAGCATTGTAAGAAAAGTGCCAAAAGTCTAGCTAGGAACAGCTTGGTGGAATAGCAATTAAGGCAGATGATGTCCATTCTTTAGATATTCTTTTACACGTATGGCATCCAGTCTGACAGCAAAACATTTAGTTGAGGTTTAAGATTTCTGCAATGTGGCTCCAAAATGTGCCCCATTCCTTTCATTTTTCATACTTTTTTTATACCACTGAACTAACTACTGCTGATCCTAGTCATTTCTTAACTTCCCATGAAACAACTGGAAACTTGATTTCCCTATTCTACCCTGGGTGAACTCCATGCTCTCATGTATTCATCTTCCAAATGTTTGACAGAGGATATACTTATATACTTGGGTGTTTTCGTTGCAGAAGTGTGGGTATTTTGTATGCTATTTGCATTTGTGCAAAACTGAAATTCAAGAACCCTTTTACAGGAGTTTCAAAGCACATAGTTTTTGGCAGCAGCTCTTGGACTACTTAGCTTGCTTACGACAAGCTACTCTATACTTGGGTGTATTCTTTTATGTATGTTGTGACATCTTCTTTATATATTTTGTGTGTTCTTCAGTGATAATCATGCATTACATTTTCATGTGCATTGTTAATAGGAGACTAATGCATAGCTAATAATAGTTATTGTCAAAGTACATTGGAATTCATGAGAAGTAGCAGAGGTGTAATGGACTCTGAAGAATATCAGCAATTGCTACTAATTAAAAAAAGGACCATTTTAATGCCTACTTTTATAGTTTTAAAAGAAAAGAAGTTAAACAATGGTAACATTTGCAGATATAACCACCAGCATTAGAGATATATGGCTCCTCACTTGTGAAGCATGAACTGTGACTTGATGGTTCTGGAAATTTTATTAGAGGTCTGTGATTTTGAAAAGGTGAAAAGATTTAGGTTTTTTTGCCCCTTCCATTACTGTTTGAGATTAATATAGGTAACTGATGTTGGAACGGAGTCCCATCCCAGTTAAACAAAATTCCTTCTAAAGCAATAAATATTCACTCAAACCTAGTTCCAAAACTACCGATAATGCCTTATCCGACACTTTGATGTAGATTATGCACCAAGAGTACCAAACACAAGGCCTTCCAGAATTCCAAAGAGATGCCTGTGACCTTTAAGAGGTCCTTAGACTGTTGACAATGTGATAATATTCTATAAAATATCTGGGGATTTAAATTTTCTAGATAAAAATAAAAACTTTCCTCAGCCCATGCAAGACATGAATATCTTAAAAACAGATGGTTTGAAAGGACAGGAACAACAATGTAATTAGCGATCCTGATTTTCAAGGACATGGATTCATCCTAAACTCAGATTCCAAGAAATGCTATCTAATCAACACAGCAAACACTATTACTAGAAAGTGAAATCAAGTCTTAAAGTTTAGGAATCGCTAATCTATTGTCTAAATGTCTAAAATGTTTATTGGTATGCGTGATATGTTTTTGCAGATCTGGTGATGAAATAATAAAAGAAAACCTCTTTGGTTTAGTTTCTTATTATAGCCTGTAATATCCACGATACATGTTCTGTAATCGTTCAGATTCTTTAATAATATCTTTAGTCAGAGTTGCTCTTCATTTAACCTGCTGTTGTTTCTGAGTTCATACCACAAGCAAACATTCAAGTATTTCTAAGAAGATGTGTTTAGTCAACCTTTTCTCTGCAAGAGAAATATCCAGAGTCAATTTAAATATGATGCAAGAGTTCCATTAAATAGGAAAACATAGTGGGTTTTTTTTTTACTTATTTTTAAAAAGCCACAACTATTTATAAGCCAAGTATGTATCAAAACTTCAGCATCAGGAAAAAGCTTGACCATTTCTTGTGCACCCTGTCCTTGAATGAAATGCTCTACACCCCAACAAGCTGCTTCTTATTTGGGTAGGTTTTCCACAGACACTTACAGATTAACAGAGTTGGAAGGGACCTTGTAGGTCAACTAGTCCAACCCCCCCACCCAAGCAGACCCTACACCATTTTTGACAGATGGCAGTCCACTTGCGGCTGTTTCCTACAGAACATGCAATTCACCAGAATGACAGTCACTCAGTCACTCGCTCACTCACTCTCACATTTCCCACCCAACAGCATATGATAAACTCTATTTGAAATGTATCCTGGATTCTTGGGATCAATATAGTTCCCTCACCACTCAACGTGACTGGTTTGTTAACATGGACCTCATCATAGCTGGCAGCCAGTCATCAGTGGTGGATTTCTGCGACTTCTTTTTTCCCCCCTCACCCTTACTACTCAAGCAACTAAATTCGTGGGAGTGGAGGAAAACCCTAATTTCCCTCCATCTGGAGCCAGGCATGGGATAAGAAGGTGATTTGGGCTTTCACTGTGTCCCAAAACTATAATTATGTGCAATGGTGGGATTCAAGAAATTTAACAACCGGTTCTCTGCCCTAATGATTTCTTCCAACAACCAGTTTGCCAAACTGCTCAGAAAGTTAACAACCGGTTCTCCCGAAGTGGTGCGAATTGGCTGAATCCCACCACTGATTACGTGTTGCTGATTTCTCAGGGATCTGCAAGAAAATTACTGGGAGGGAGTGGGAAAATTTTCTGCTTTCCTGTCTCTTGCCAAAATGCATGCTTAAAGTTGGGAAAACGTCATGGGAAGAAAGGATTATTATATCCTCGCCTGATCAGCATAATCATATGTATTATAAACTCCACAAACAGGAATATAGTACAGTTTGTGGATTAATTGGCGGAAAAGTTAATAGTCAAGTGAAGATGGTATCACTACCTGGCATCGCTAATGGAGCAGTAATGGAAAAAAGAACCAAGAGGATATTAGTTATCAGCATCCTTCATTAAGTTCTCCTCTGAATGTGTGTCTAGATCTGTGTAGAGCAAAAAGAAAACAGTAGCTGGTAGACCTGGATGGATATCAGTAGATTCTGGACAACACCATGCAATAGATTCATTTTTATTTTGGTTGAGCCAATGTCTTCCTATGGGTTTCATCATTGTCTCTCCTTAGAGAGGAACCCTAAGAAGCCAGACAAACTCTGCAAGTTGCTCTTACAATACAATCAGCTAATAAATAAATAAATATATTTCACAACTGGAGAGCAGCACTGATGGAAGCCCATTATATCTCAACTTCACAGCAAAAAAGAAAAAGAAAGCCAGGCAGAGTCCAATTTTTTCCATTCCCTCTTCTTACATGAGATTTAAAGGTGCAGGATCTAAAGCAGATCATGCATAGAGGTTCACATGTGCATACTATCCTTGAGTGCAAACTACAATACAATCACTGGTCAACCAAAGCTTTTGTGCAGACGGATAGCTTTCTCGGAGTTTACAGGACAGGAATTCCTTCTCTTAAATCAGAAGAGGTGAAGAATTCTGCACAACAACACTGAACAGGAAATCCATGTAGAAGAGATGGGAAACTACTTCCTCAAACTTGACTCATTCATAGAAGAGCATCGGGCATTTTTTTAAAAATCACAGATAAGCCACTCATGGCCAATGAGTGGCATGTGGCTCTCAGTTGCAAAAAGGGCAGTTGGGGAGAAATAGGAAGTCCTTGCTGCCTATTTCATTGATCAACTGCACAATGTTGAGCTGGCTGGCAGGGGAAGGACTGTCATTTCATAAGACAAACATAAAATAATCAAGAGTAAGAACCTTTTCTTCTGCATTTTTAAAGTTGAGTATTTCTTTCAAGGCTGAAACACTTTACATTTGAAATCAAATGTTTTACATCTCAAAATTCTTAATGTATAGATAATGAAGACTTGTTAGAAAATCAGAGTTTTGAGCATTCTTCGTTGCCTTGAGGTCTTTCCATTAACCAATTTGTACTTTTCACTATTTTGTCTGGTGATCCACTGTTTTACTCCACTTTGTATTCAGTCTGTTCCCTTTTTGAAAGCGATTTGGAAGGATTCATGAGCTGGCACAAGTCAAGCAGAAAAGCCCAGATCTCTCAATATCCAAAAGAAGAATTCAATCCCTTCCCATTAGGAAGGGGAGAGGAGAAAGGGGGCATGAGGAGAGGAGAGGAGAGGAGAGGAGAGGAGAGGATATCTATCTATCTATCTATCTATCTATCTATCTATCTATCTATCTATCTATCTATATATCTTTGGTTATTCGGGTTTTCTCCCGCGTAAAATTGGAGGTTTCTTGGCAACGTTTTGACGAAGTCTCATTCGTCATCTTCAGGCTGGTGTTCTCGGCTTCGTGCTTTTAGGAGCAATGTGTGTGATCGCAGCTGTTTCTTCCTTTTAACTGCCAGTGGGGGTGTGAACTGATTAGGTGGGAGCTTGGCTGTGTTCTGATTGGGCGGAGGTGTGTTCTGATTGGTTGGGGGTTTGGCTGTGCTCTGATTGGATGGGGGGTTGGCTGTGTTCTGATTGGATGGGTGTGTGTTCTGTTTAGGTGGGGGCTTGGTTGTGCTCGGGTTAGTCTGAGTAGCAGGACTAACAGGACAGACTTCTCTTAAATCAGAAGAGGTGAAGAATTCTGCACAACAACACTGAACAGGAAATCCATGTAGAAGAGATGGGAAACTACTTCCACAAACTTGACTCATTCATAGAAGAGCATCGGGCATTTTTTAAAAAATCACAGATAAAATTGGAAATACCTTGGCGAAGTTTCAACGAAGTGTCATTCGTCATCTTCAGGCTGGTGTCACAAGGCCGAAGACACCAGCCTGAAGATGACGAATAAAACTTCGTCGAAACATCGCCAAGGTATTTCCAATTTTACGCGGGAGAAAACCCGAATAACCAAAGACCTACATATGAGAGAGAGAGAGAGAGATTGTTTGGTTTTTTAAAAGTAGAAAGATATGAGAAAGAGATAACATTTATACATATAGAAAGAGAGAAGAGTGTCTTCCAACCATGTCCTTTTTCAGTTATTCTTTAAAGGAAAGTGGACTTTGTCCCTGAAAACTGATTGAAAACTGATTCTGTAAATGATGAGTAAAAGTTAGTTAAAAAGTTAATAAAAATTGAGCAATGTTTTTGAAACTATGCGGTACAAATTGGCTCTCTAAAGACTTGCAGGAATAGAAACTAGTTTGAGAATGCATTATAAACCCATTTTAATAGTGCTTCCCTGTTTATGAGTTCCAGGGCTATTTTTTGTTTTCCTAATTATCATGGGCTGCACTAAGATCTGGTTCCAATCCTAACAATCCGCTACCTAAAAAGCCTGATGTTATGTGTCCTTTTTATTAGTAGACTAAGAATAATATGGGAAAGCATATTCCCAAGCTTTCAGTTCCTTGAGATTTCCTGTGGGGTTGTGAAAGATTATTTTAACTCTTCCCCGGCTTCTGAAAACTCATATGATTCAGCTCCATGAAAACGTTTTCATTATTGCACTATGAAGATTCTCCCAATCCAATCTCAAGCAGTACTTTCACACAATGAATTTGGTTTCTCCTAGTTGGGTCCCAGAATGATTCATTCACTGCAGATTCCTCATGTTTCACAATCTGGAGTCTTGGCTTACTCCATTCTGCTCATTCCTTTGTCCTTCTTTGAAGGAATGTGTAGTTCTCCCGTCCTGACAGAAATATGGCTGAACCTGGACTCGTCTCTTCACAAGCTTCTGCAAAGGGTGAGGAGTTCTTTATCCATTCAACTTTCAACCATTCCAGGACACCCAGGGATTTCTGTGGATAGAAGGAACTAATTTTAGTTAGTTTGTTGTGGTGATATATTAACTCTAGAAAAGTTAAATCACAATTGTTAATTATTTATTAGATTTATATAATACCTTTCTTTTATAGCACTCCACCCTGCCATTCCCCTCCCCATCATCATCAACATCATCTTTTAATGACCGCATAATCCTTTGCGGGGTGGAGACTGGGCAACAGAATGGAGCTGAGTGTTTACTGGCCGGATGCCCTTCCTGTCGCCATCCCATTTCCCTCCCACTCCCTCCCCCCAAAATCCTGCGACATTAGGTTGAGTTGATAGAGAGTGACTGACTCCAAAGTCCCTTAATGAGCTTCTGCCGTTGAGGATAGACCAGAATCTGGGTTTTTCTTCTCTTGGTTTTTCTTCTCTTACTCAATCCTAACCTTAACTGTCACACAAAACTTGGCTTTTGAAGGTCTTTCTTAAAATTGTTTATCGTTCTTCACTGTTATAGTATTTCAAACTGCTTTTAATAATGTATGCTGCCAAAACATTATGGAATTGGGTTAAAGCATTCACACCTAACTAACAGCAGAAACCTCAATGCTTCATTGCTGCTAGTTTAGGTCCATTATTGCAGTGAAGAAAGAGGTCGCTTATAAGGAGAAGATCTGCCTGATGCAGGAAATAAAATCACACAATGTATCAGTCTGTCAACCTTAAGATTTAAATCTTACATCTGCCCTTTCAGGCCAATAACCTTTGAATCTCTCTTTTTTTTCCAGCTTGGAGATTGTAATCTACCTGTTCTATAAATACACAAACGTTCTGTTTCACTGAGCAGCATTGATTCCTGCCTCACCAGCTGTAGTCCTTACACTATTCACCATTTGTTCTTTTGTTACCATGTTATCATATTTCTTTCTAATCAAAGTCACGGCCCTGGTTCATCTCATAATCTTATTCAATGCCCCCCCCCAAATTATCAAGAAGGTTTTAAAACTGTTTAAAGCAAACTAGCAAAGAACTTCAAATGCCCTGACTAATGGCCAAGAAAATAACAGATGCATTAAATGTAACAAATAATAAACACAGCTCCATGGAAAGAAGTCAAAAGCAATATATATTGGAGCAAAATGCTCTAGCTTTTTCCACTATGCTGTTGGGATCTAAGTCAGAGGTGACACACGCCATTGACCTCTCCTCTATAAACTTGGAATTGTGCAAGAGAGAACACTGAAAATGTTGATCTAGAATGCAAAAGCAGAGAAGAAGGGAAAAAACACACACAGGGGAATTCATATTTTTGAAATAAGAATGAAAACACAATTGGGACTGCCTGCACTCAAGTGACTGAATCTCAATTTATTGTCAAAATATACGTAAACGTTTGCCCAGGCATCACATTCTTTTGGCTTTAAAGCAAATCTGGTGATCATTTCTTTTCTTTTTTTCTATTACTACATCACGTTTGCATTTTATTCACTATTTGAGCCGGAGATGCACAATCTCTGGATGGGATACAGCTTCCAAAAGTATTGTTTATATTTCCCCCCCACTACCTCTAAAAATTATCAGATTGGAGGAAAAGAATAAATATGTGGAGTGTTTTCATTAATTATTAAAAGTATTTATACAGTGTTTTTTTTTTATTTTAAGTACTTCAGAGTGATTTACAATATTTATAAATGCATAAGATAAAAAGGGCTTTAAAAAGATAGAGGAAAAACAAAATAAGAACAATTCATACAAAAGCAAATCTTAAGGAAAATTAATGACTGAAGAAAGTCAATGAAAAAAAGATGCCTAAAATAAATCAATGTCACGTCTTAGCTTTAAAATTGCAGTATTTATATCTAAATCGCATGTATTTTATTTATCCTGGCCCCTTGGTATGGACAAATCTATATACTAGGAAATAGGAAGAAAGAACAATTATTGCTTACCCACCTCAGAGAACTGATATGCCTTTCAAAGCAATTTTTTATTGCTCATACTTTAAAAAAAAACAGAGAAATGTTACCTGCCTACTCCTTTAGGAACCAGAATCTTTTCTGTCAACCAATTCTATCCCACCATTTTTATTCCAAATTCTAGGCATTTTGGCCATGAGCTCACCCATCCCCACAGCTTGTTTTGCATTCAGTTATGTGATCTTAGCCAACTTGGCCAAGAGTTTTGCCTCCCCAGCAGATAGCTCTTCCTAGATACTAAAATTCAGAAAGCATCTTTGCTACTAAAGACTAATACGGCTCTCTTCTTACAAGTGATCCTAGGTAGGTTTCCTTTCTATCTAATGTGATTATTCACTTCTTTCCAAAAACGTGCAATATTAACAAACATTCTGGGGATCACGCCATTACTATCTGATTGTCTCTTTCTATCAGACATTGTAATTAATTTTCCAGGTTGCGTTATTTTTCCAAGATTTTGATTCTTGATTGAGAAGACAAAGATGAAGAAAAAAAAATCTTTTTCATTTGGGTGTAATTAAATGAACGGAAAGAATATCTAAGGATAAGATGAACTTAAATGTAAAAATACTTAAGAAAAATTATTCCTCTTGCATGAAATGAGAGGGGAAAAAATGAGGATTCATATTAAGCGACAAATCAGAAGTGCCAAACTCTCATCTATGAAAATCAATGAAACTCCTGAATTGAACCCAAAGAAGCCTACAGTACTGTTCTTGCCAATGGCCCATAATTCAGCAACTCAGAATGGGATAACACCACTGAGAAAATGTTGTGAAACCTGGCTTCTCTTTTGCAAGAATTTGACTCTGGCTCTGAATTTAGGAGAACCCCAAATTCCTGGCCCATTCTTTCAGAAAGAATACTACCTCTTACATTACTTAATGCAAATAAGATATGTAAACTTGTTTCATATGGAAATAAGATATGTAAACTTGCTTTCTGGAGAAAAAAAATGTATGGGCAGTTATATAGAAAATCCTGGTGGTGCAATGGTTAGAATATTGCAGGAAAACCTTGCCCACTGCCAGGAGTTCAATTCTGACAAGTTCAAGGTTGACCTAGCTTTCCATCCTTCCAAGTCAGTCAAGTGAGGACCCATATTGTAGGGGGCAATATGCTGACTCTGTAAACCACACAGAGAGTGCTGTAAAGCACTATAGAGTGGTATATAAGCAGAGGTGAAATGCTCCCGGTTCGGACCGGATCGCCTGAACCGATAGCGATGGCGGCAGGTGGTTCGGAGAACTGGTAGCAAAAATCCCTGTCCCCCCCCATGCCTAGCTGAGCCGCGCAATCATCAGAGGTTTTTTTTTTTTTTTACTTTTAAAAGCATTTTTCCTACAACCTCTTTGGCCGAAAAAATGCTTTTAAAAGTTAAAAAAAAAAAGCCTCTGATGATCGTGTGGCTCAGCTGGGATCGTCAGAGGCTTTTAAAAGCATTTTTTTCTGCAACCTCTTAAGGTTGTAGAAAAAATGCTTTTAAAAGTAAAAAAAAAAAAGTTGGGCACACCCATCCAGTCACATTACCCCCCCCCCAACATCAAGCCACGCTCACAGAACCAGTAGTAACAAATTTTACATTTCACCACTGTATATAAGGCTAAATGCTATTGCTATACAATATTTATTGCATAATAATATTTATAATATTTAATATTTATAAATAATATTTATAATATTTATTGCATTTATTAAAGCTTACCACAAAAGCTACTTTGTCTGCTCACTTTGTATTGCTGGCCTCGTTTACACTACTTTACATTAATTCTAATTTCATTTGGACTAAGAAAGTTGGAGTAATCTAAAAATTTCTTTTTAACTACTTTTATTGCATCCTAATTATAGAGCACATTACAGCTCTGCCAATTGGGGGTCCTAGCATGTCAGAGAAAACACGACCATTTACAGTTCCAAGGGAATGGGAAATACTGCTGCTGTTTTATAAATCAGGAAACAATCTGCCTGTTGGATTTGGAGAAGGAATTTCCTTTCCCCAACTCTCTCACACTAATAAATTTTAAAGCTTATCTCAAATGTTTAATAAATATAAGGTAGTAGAAGATAACAGCTACCGTAATTCTCGTTAATGAATTGTTATCAGAATAGAAAGGAGTCATGTGTGACTAAGGATTAAAATATTAATTGTGACAGTTGCTGATGGTTAACGTTCATTTTACAAGGTTTTATGTCATGACAGACTGCTGAGCTACAATCTCCAATAGGTACTAATATGGCTTGCGATGGGGGGGATGTTGGGAGTTCTAGTTCAAGCAACCTTGATCTGAGGTGGCGCATTGGTTAGAGTGCAATATTGCAGGCTACTTCAGCTGACTGCTAGCTGCAGTTCAGCAGATCGAATCTCACCGGCTCAAGGTTGACTCATCCTTCCATCCTTCCAAGGTGGGTAAAATGAGGACCCAGATTGTTGGGGGCAATATGCTGACTCTGTAAACCGCTTAGAGAGGGCTGTATAAGTCTAAGTGCTATTGCTATTGCTATCTATACCATTTGTTTGGTTTGCTCAAAGAACTTCAAACTCTGGTAAAATTACAAAGACATCTCAACAGTCAGAGAGCCCATAGGCCAAACTATATAAGTTTTTCCGTGAAACACTTCTATTATATTAAGCAATATTCATGAACAGATGGGTGACTATGGACAGTGTCTTGGCTGTAGCTAGGAAGTTATATTGCACAAAACCTTCAGCAAACATCCACAGGAATATACACATAAGAAATGGAACAGTGGAACAGCTGTTCCTTAGAAATTTGCTCTGTAAAGTTTAAGGTTGGTTAGTGGGGAGAATAGTCTTGTTGCCAAGCTAGTGATAGTCAAGAGTGCCAAACTCTATACTTCTGTGAAAGAAGGGGACAATAAGGGTGCTATTAATCGGCTTTGTTGAGTATATTAAAATATATAGAAATTCTAGGTCCTCTACATTTCACGGGAGATAATTTACATAATGTGGAATAAAATTTCAGATGTATATATCGAAGTAGGCTAGGTGGCAAGTTATAATAATTAAATCTTTTTAATTCACATAACTACTTGTG